TAATGTTTAATATCTCGCAAAATGCGGTGGGATATGTTAATGAAAATTTAACGAGAAACTAGCTAAAGGAATAACCTTTCCAACGCATATATGAAAGTGCGTACAACATTTGTGCAAAGTTGGAAAATTAATGAAAAACCAGAAAGGTGTGCGGTACCGCTGCCGACACTCCGCACAAAAATTGTTAATAACTAATTACTGAAAGGAGTTAGAACAATAGAATCTACATGTGAAAGTTGCTAAAGCTTCGTATTTCATTCTTCAATTCTAAAAGTTCACAAAATCATCCTAAATAATGAGTTATTAATGATTTTTCCGTCGCCGACTTGTTTTAGCGTCTAGGTGCCGGCCATTACGGCCCGCGGACCAATAGGAAACGTTCTATCTCTATCCTTCTCGCACACTAGTGCTTTCCTTGTCTAATACCTCTATTCACATTCTGTGTGCCGAGTAACGAGTCGTTAGTTCCCGCAGCCAAACGCGAGATGGGGTTACTCTAGTTTTAAACAATTTTCTGTCCTTATCTAACCCTATTCCTCTCCTTGTCTAACTCGTTTTTCTACTGCTATCCTTGTCTTACCCTATTGCTTTCCTTGTCTAACTCATTTCTCTAGTACTAACCTTGTCTACCGCTCTCTTCCTTACTGCTATCCTTGTCATCCCTAGTATATTTAAGTGATTCTTATAATAAATTTTTTATGGATTTAGCAAAACTAATAATGAAGACAATAAAATAAAGTTACTGGTTTATTTCCAAGTATTTTAATTATAGAATAATTATTAAATAACAATTTAGATGGTAGCTTATCATTATTGGAACTATTAAATGAATTTGATGCATGATAACTTAACAAAACAGCTTTATTTATCAATTTCACATTAAATTAACAATTGCATACAGTAGATTAGTTAGAAATTGTTTATAACCTTTATTTTCCATTTAAAAATTAATATTCTTTTCGTGTGAATTACAAATGGAAGTTTCACACCACCACAGGAGTCAAGGAAAGGAATTTAACATCAGGAAAAATGAAGAAATATTAGTATTTATCAAAGAAATCAATTAGTTATCGTATAATTATTGTAAAAAAGGTATTTTACAAAAGGTTACAATATGTCAGTATTGTTTTACAGTATTTTACAGTCTATTTATTTTTTCCTTACACACCACACCCATTTCCTTTTGCGGAACACTCATTCTTTAAATAATATTCCATTGCAAAATGAAATAAACGACGTCCGGAAATAAAAAATCTCGAAATTCGAGGAAAAATGTCGACTATTTAGGCACGTGTTAAAAAACGTAACAGATGGTACAAAAAGCTTCACGAACGTGCCAAAGCATTCCTATCTATAGTACATACGAGCTTACACTTCCACCGTTACTGTTTTCCCCCATTCTTTTTACGACTGTCGACGTCATTTGCTCCGGACGCTGCCCACGGCTCTGCCCTGGGCAAAATGGATCGCTCTTGCTTCCAAAACGACCCTACTCTACACCCAAATCCATAACTCTACTAAATACACTGACAACGCAAATATAACATTTTTCAAATATTTCTACGATTTACATGATTTCTACATTCGATGTTCAAGATAATAACAACTATTATTTAGCAATCCACGATCAAATATGCGAACCTCTCAGAAGCCAACATGATTAACTCCATTTTTTGCAACTCTTCCAATTACAGTATCGAAGCACATGCTTGGTCCTTAACTCTTCATAAATAAAAAAAAAGTTTAACAAATCTAACTTCATGGAGTTAGTCACTATACCTTCTAAGTGTCTCAACTATCGCAAGTAAATAGTTTAAAACGTTATACATATACAAAGTGATACTAGCAAACGATACGTTCTGCTTGTCTGATCAAAGGCGGGTTTATCTACTGAAAGGAGAATAAGTCTCGTTTGTCTGGAAGTGACGGCAATAAAAGCGCACTACATTTCCGGCGCGAACAAATTATTAACGATCTTCGATCGACTATTATCCTACTGAAATTTCAATTAAAACTTCAATAAACACTGTTCTGTTCCATAATTTTACCAAGGAAAAAATCAATTTTCCGTCAGTTTCATAAAACGAAGATTCAACGGTCGCGTTTCGTTTCATTGAAATTAATCAATTTCACAAGGTAGCTCGCAGGGTTTGTCAAATACAAAGCCTCTTCGTCGTTTCGTCGACAGTAAAGCGTGCCACATAATTGAAATGAGTGTTAGCACGAAACAATATTAACGGTGATTGCATTACTGTCGTCGCGGTTTACCCTCTTCGTATTACTTATCCATAAACACGAGCATCTGGTAATCGAAGGAAACAACCATACGCTTCAGCGTAATCCCCTCCTGAAACATAAACGTTATCATCAAACATTATCACTGATTATATACAATTCCTATTTTTTTTTTCTTTTACATTACACGCGACACATTTCGACACTTTCTTCTACACACATACACACAGAATATAAGAATATGTGTTACTTGTTATCGATCGAGTTTTCGCAAAGGTCAAATGCATCTACTTAATCTTCTATCGGCATCTCCAATATAATTACTTATGCGGATAAAATTTTATGCATCCGGTACACCTAATGTACAAACTCCATTAAACTACATCACCATCGACAGATTTGTTAACTTAATTAAATCATCAATTTCTCCAATTTTCCTCCATTTCGTTCTATCTCGACAGTTCATCTTCGACCGAAGAAACTACTTACGAAGAAACAGTAAAAAAATTTTAGCAAGAGTAATTGAAATGATTTCTGCAGTATGCAAAACCGGATTCATAAAGAACTAGAATTTCATTCTACCGCGATATTTCAACGACGGGGAAACGTCAGTTACCATCTCGCCGTTCAATTACCACGTTTTCCCTTGATCGCAGGCAAACGTTACCACCGATGACATCTGTTATTTGCCACGTCCTCGCGATCGGTTCACCGATCATCGACCAATCTCCCGACGAAAAGGGGTTCACGCATATTCCGGTCTGTAGGACACGGAGGCATTGGGGCGCCGGCGCCTGCTATTGATTCCGTTGGATATCGTGATTTCGAAAGTTACCATCGTAGTAGAGGGTGCCACAGTAGCTAACTGCTCCTCGAACCATAAGGAGGCTCTCGCGCTTTTCTTTGTCTCACCCCAACAGGTCAGTGCTAGCAAAACGATAGTTTTCTGATTACTATAAAATGTATATATATATTTTTATTCATTCATTCGTATCATCCTACCTTCGTGCATGTTTCATCGTTGTCAACGTGAAATCGTTTCGCCAGGAACGCAACCGGATGTCGTTTTTTCCATTTGAATCGTTCAGTCCGGGACACCTAGAAAGGAAAGCACGTTAAATCATGTTTGTCTAGAGTTAGATTGGAGGGATGAATGGAAAGAGTATTTGTAAAATGTCTTCGCCGAGTAATTCATTTTTGTCGAGAAGATCGTGTAGGAGGAAGAATATTATTCGACTAGTGCGCTCATGACGTCAATGGGAACGATAGTTATAGTACATGTCACTCGTGTAGCATTGCCGCCCAATATATTATCGATACATTTCGCAGAGAAGTACAGCGAGGTTTTGCTTGATTTTTCTGAAACGTCGATAAAGAATGTTCCTTTTTTTTCAACGTGTCTTTCGTTTTCGAGGGAATTTTTATTCATGAAATCGGTGCAAAGTGCGCGGAGAAGGAAAGATCGTAAAGGGTACTAAACGGTCGATAGGTGTGAGGCTAAAGTAAACAATATTTTCGATGCAATTACACTTGGAGGAATATTTAGCGATTTTTAATTTGATCGTCGAGATACCTTGACTAGGAGGTCAGGGCCGTGGTAAAGCTTAAAAGCAATCATCTCTCCCTCTTGATTCTACTTCTATCGATAAAGAAAGCGACGTGTGCTACGTTCCTTCGACAGAAATTGCTCAGACATTTCTGTCAAGTGTTTTACTTACGGGGGCAAACAGTGGTTTGAACAAGAGAACAAGGGAATCGC